ACAGGAGATTTACTTACCCCTGACTTGATCCATTCCATTTTGAGGTACCCCATAGCCAATTAAAGGGTACCTCTAATTGTAAGATTTTTTTTTTCATATTGAGCCAGACTCTTTCTTCTGGGAATAGCTACCCACTCATTCTGGTTTTGTCTTCTTGAGAAGAATAATTCTGTCATTTCTTTTTCCACATGACAACTTTTCAATCATTTGAGGACAGTTATCATACACGTTCCCTATCACCATCTCTATTCTTATTTTCATCTCCAGGTTCAACATCATCCCTGTTAATGACTTTTTTTTTTTTGGAAGAGCTCCTCATCTCCCAATAAAACAAATCTTTTGAAAACAAAACAAAGCAAAACAAAACACACACACACACACACACACACACACACACACACACTTCAGTTTATGATCCTCTGGGATTCTCCTTTTTGTCCACTTTTCCTTTCCACCATGCTATCCTCTAATAATGACCTGATCAGCAGGACTTAGAGCTGAAAAGTCACTTTCTTATCAGTATGAAGCTACTTGAAAGAGCCCTGGATTTTGTGGCTACTTCCTTACTACCTAAAAAATAATCCCATGTCTTCCCCCTTCCTTCCAAACTCTTGCTAATCCAACCATCTTCACTATCATCCCACATCTCTCCTACCTTTTGTGGTTAAACTCCTTGAGAAGATCATTTACAATAGATGTCTCCACTCCCTTCCCTACGTCATCATTCAACTGAAACTGCTCTCTCCAAAATTATCAGTGACCTCTTAATTGCCAAATTCAATGTCCTTTTCTTACTCCTCATCCTTCTTGACCTCTCGTTGTCTTTGAGACTGTTGACCACCCTCCAGTCCTTGATATTTTCTTCTCTCTAGGTTTTCTGGACACTAGTCTCTCCTGGTTCTCCTTCCACTTGTCTGACTGCTTTTTCTCAGTCCCCTTTGCTGGATGCTTATCCAGATCATGCCCTCTTATCCTAGGTGTCCCACAGGACTCTTTCATGGGCCCTTTTCTCTTCTATTTCACCTGGTCATCTCATCACCTCCCTTGAATTTAATTATCATCTCTAGGCTAAAGTTTCTCAAATCTACTTATCCAGCCCTCATGTCTCTGTTGACCTACAGTTTTACATCTTCAACTGCCTATTAGACATGCAATGAGTGGTATCACTTTGTTTTAATTTATAGAATTGGAATCAGATTTGAGTTGGAAACATGCGTCAGACACTAACCTGTATGATCATTTAACCTCTCAGACTCAGTTTTCCATCTCTTAATAGTATTTATTATTTTTATTTTATTAAATATTAATAGTTATTAATTGTATTTATTCCCCCTCATAGGGCTATGGTGAGACCATTTGAGATAATATATGTGAAGTTCTTTGCAAACCTTAAGGGCTACTTAAATGATAACTATTATTAATATTTATTATTATAATTGCATACCTCATAGCCCTTTGTAAAGTGTGCTGTGATCACTTCTTACTCAGCCTGGTTTATCTTCACCTGTAGGAGTAGGGAGAAAACTGCAGCTTGGAGAAACAAAGACAAATTTCATCTATGTCTTAATTTTGATTGGGAATGCTTTGTTTGTATCCAACTGTTGGGAAAGATACAAATAGTGGCCAAAAGAATAGCTGTGCCCTGTGGCAGCTTAGTAGTAACGCAATAATTAATAGCCAGCTTCTTGGTAGAGAATACCTCTTAACTTAAACAGGAAGAGTAGAAAGTAGTATTTCTTCCCCCCCCCCCAAACTTTCCTTCCAAGATGATTGTGTAGGAATTTAAAATGAGCCTTCCTTGAAGGCTTACTCCAGTACTGGATTCTCTCAGTGTGGTTGAGGCGTCTTCTAGTTATGTGAGTAGTATGCATGTACTGGCAAATTCTATCAAGGGAGAAAGGATGCAAATGTGGGCTCCATGGCATATTGTCTGTCTGCTGAAAACTAGATTAGATAATTTTGGAGACACTTATTATCAGAAATATGGCTAGCAAATAATAATTTTGGGGGGGGCACGTGAATTCATGAAGGCTACATATTAAGTAATGGTAGGGGCAATATTGGTGGAGAGCATACAAATATAATACAGGAAAAATGGAACGAAAAGAAAAGCAAGATGTCTCTAAGGGATTACTCCTATCCATGTACCTACCCTATGGTCTAGCCAAATTGGCCTTTCTCTTCCTCCTACATGACACTCCTGTGTCTGTAACTTTAGAACACTGCGGTTCCCTCTTGGAATCTGGTTTCCTTCAAGCTTTAGTTCAAATACTATCTGTTGCTTAAGGTTTTTCCTGGTTCTTTCAGCTATTAGTGCTATCCTCTTAAAGTTACCTTATATCTGCTTTGTTTGTGTTTTGTGTACACACACACACCCCCCCACACCCACAGACACAGACACACACCCACACACCCCCCCTTTCAGATCTGGCAGTTTTGGTGATTCTAAAGACAAATGTAAGATGTATATGCAATACACTAAGAAATCAGCCCTAAGAGACAATGTACTTTTACCTAGCCCCAAGATTGCCTCTGTGTCTTGCTTCCCAGTTGCTCACTTATATAAGACCAACAGGAAAATTTGAGAGTTAAAAACAGAGGAAGAATGGAACTGTTCAAAGGATATGAACAAGGAAGGAAAATGACAAATTACTAACAACTACATGAAAGAATACTTCAAATATCTAATAATCAGAGAAACGTAATTCACAATAATGCAACTTTGAGGCTTTACCTAAGACCCAGAAAATTAGCAAAGATGACAAAAGATGGTATTGCAGGTATTGCGGAAGAACGGGCACACCAATGACATGTCTGCAGGGACTTACTGCAACCATTCTAGAAAGAAATTTGGAATTATACAAAAAAGTGGCTAAAATATCCATACCCTTTGCTTTAGAGATTCTATTAATAGGCAAATGCCCGCAAAAGAAAGCCTGTATTTGACAGAATATTTGTAGCAACACTTTTGTGGCAACAAATAACTGGAAACAAAGTAGTTGTTCAGTGATTAGGGAATGTCTATAGAAATTGTGAGTGTGAAGGTAACGGATGTTATTGTGCTATAAGAAAAAACGAATATGATAAAAAAGAACATAACAACTTACACAAACTGATGCAAAATGACTTAGAGCCAATAAAACAACATATACAATGATTACAATAATGTAAATGATAAGAACAGCAATCATACAACAATTAAAAATAAATGTTGCTATATTACAAAGAACAAACATGGTCCCAAGAAGAGATATGATAACATACTTCCCCTAACTCCTTTGCAGAGTTTGGGGGTGGGGTAGAGAAGGAGCATTACAAGTTGGGTTTTTTTTGACATATTATTGATTTTGTTGATTTTTTTCCCCTCTGTTTTTTTTTTAAATATTCTTTGTTATAAGGGATGGATGTTTGGAAGAAAAGAAGGGGCTAAAAGAGGAGGAAATTTAGGTGATATAAAAACAAAACATGACCATAAAATTTTATTTAAAAAACTGGGGAACCTTGAACCCTAAAACTGTTTTTTCGCTAAATATCCATTGACTGGGAGTGGTCTAAACAACAGAGATCAATATCTGATCAATGTAATGGTAGATGACCATAAGTTAGAGTAAAATCTCTGACTGAGGGGAGCTAACCCTCAACTATAATAGTTAGTCAAAAGAAACTTCAGAGCTTATGGAGGAAAAGAGAGGTTAAACTTTGCTGCTACTTGGGAAGTAAAAAGCTCTTAGAGCCAGGCCAAAGAAATAAAATTAGAGAAGTTTTTCCAGGTTCCCAGCTAAGAGTCATTGCCTTTGTACTCTGAAAGAATGCAGCTCTACACTGTCCAGGAATAATCTCAGCTTGGCAGAGGAGTGACCCAGCTCAACAATGGAGAGGCACAGCTTTGGAGCAGAGCCATTTTTCCAACACAGATTCGATGTCCATTAGTGAACTATGTAAGAACAGACCCCAAGAAAGAGAAAGGGCAATGAGACAATAACATAATGAGTTTTCTTGGTCACATATATTCCCTAAAAACGTGCCTCATTAATATGGTATTTTAAATTTATGTCCACTTTTCTTACAGATGTTACGTATACTGGGGAGAGAGTAAGTCCCATGTTTATGGGCAGACATATTATAAATATTGTTCTTGTTTTGCCTTCTGAGTTTTTTTTTAGGAGTTAATTGAGTCATCTGGCTGATTTGTTAATGGAAAATTTATTAGTAGGGTCTTAGTAGCTGCAGTAGTATAAGTAGCCACCCACAGAGTTACCTATGACAGTAAAAACAGCTCCCCTTTTGAATCCAATATGTGTTAATGAAAATTGAGAAAGTGAGCCATTTGGTGTGCTGGTAAATGTTTAACCAGCTCTCTGGGGAAAAATGTATGCACGACATACTTCTAAATTTAATGTGCATCACTAAGATTTTCTCCATCATTTTATTGTCTAAACAATCAACATAACAAATTTGTGGAGTTTGCAAATTTCTTAGATGTAAATACTTACACTGAAAATTTGACAATTAATTCTCATGAGGTGATACAAGTTGGCCCCAGTATACCTCTAGAGTAAGATGAGAGACAGAGAGAGACACACACACACACAGAGGGAGTAAGAGTAAGTAAAGAAGAAGAAGGGGGAGGAGAATGCCCATTACATTTATATATATATGTATGTATGTATGTATGTATAGTTCTCTCCATTTGAATATAAACAACTTGAAGGTAGGAACTGTTTTACTTTTACCTTAGTATCTCCAGAACCTAGCACCATGCTTACTACATAGGAGGTGCTTAATAAGTCTTTTTTTTCAGTTGGATGATTGACTGATTGATACAAGAGGATTTTGAATCATCTAGTCTCAGGATCTAAAGTGGCGAGGTCAGTGGTGGGCTGTTTGCCATTTGTAATGAATTGTTCAACACAGGACCATTAAACCTGGAATACTAACCCTCTGATGAAAGTCCAGGTTACCAAATGACATCCTAAAGTTGTTTTTTCTTTTCTTTATAGACAATTCTGGATTTAAAATGGACTCTCTCAGTACAGCTAATGCTGAATTCTGCTTGGATGTTTTTAAAGAACTGAGCAGGCACAGCGTTGAGGACAATGTCTTCTTTTCCCCTGTGAGTTTGTTCTATGCCCTGAGCATGCTTTTGCTGGGTGCCCGAGGCAACAGTGCAGCACAAATGGGAAAGGTATGTATGATTTGGGATAAGTGTTTATCTAGAGGCCTTCAGGAAATTTCTTCCTGAGTTAAGCCCTTCAAACCCATCACACTTCAAAGACTGCTATACTGTGGAGCACCAAATACTGTGAACCAACTCATGCCTCTTAAATAAGAAGAGGTAGCTTTAAAGGCAATATACTTTATAGAACTGTACTGTAGGAGGATTTTGGAGTGTCCCACTCTCATAGCTACTATCAAAAAGGGCTGGGTTAGCTTTTTTTTTTTTTTGGCAATTGGGGTTAAGGGACTTCCCTAGGGTCACACAGCTAGTAAGTATCATGTTTGGTCTGAGGCCGTATTTGAACTCAGGTCCTCCTGACTTCAGGGCCGGTGCTGTATCCACTATGCCACCTGGCTGCCCCTGGGTTAGCTTTTGAGCTGGAGGTATCTGTCTAACTTAGTCTAGCTCTATTGCTTTCCATAGGGACAATATCACATAATAACAGAGAGTTCTTGGGATTCTCTGTTGGAATGTTTTAGGTATTTTTTATCCCTGTAACTAATTCTTCTTTGTGTGATGCTCAAAGCTGTGTGTCTGGGTGTGGGGTAGAGATGAGGTGGTGATATGGGGAGTGGTTGCCATCAGTAAACTCCTACTCATTAGTCACTGTACAAATGTCTTTGTAATAAGGGTTGCCAAGAAGTTGGGCATTATTCCTGGCTGAGGCACCTGTATTATGATTGTATATATATGTGTGTACATATATTTATGTCTACCTATATGCAAATATATATTTTTACAAAAACATCTCACTTCCTTCACCAAATCACTGCATTAATTGGCAGCACCAGTAGAGAGAGAATCAATGAATCAGCAAGCATTGATTTACTAATATTATATGCCAGACACTGTGCTGGGCTTTGGGAATATGAGACAAGAATGAAACAGTCCCTGCCCTTAATGAATATAGCTTTTGTAAAAATGGTCTCCCATCTATCTCTCAGTAATAGACGGGTAGCAGTTGGTCTCGGTTTCACAACGATTACCCTTTTCTGTCACCCTTGCCTAACCCAGTGAACTAGATGCTGGACAGAAAATACATCTGATAGACCCTTAATACATTTCAAGTCTCTTAACCACTTTAGTTATGTCCATACTTCTTTGTTCTTTATCCTTCCCCTCTCTATAACTCTGTATACTTTTGGATTATTCCTTACTTGAAACCAGGGTGCTGTGATAAAAGACACCACATAATACCCTATGTAATTGTGGGTAGGCCTGGCATAATAGCTATCTAAAATATTAACATATCAACATGGCAGAGTTGCTTATCATGGATAACCTCTATGTATCCTTCCTTTATTTCCTCTGAAGTTGAGCTCTCTCATCTTAGGTGTTACACTTTGGTTATGTGAAAGGATCATCAAATCCAGAGCTTGGGAAATCTTCTAAGGTATGAAATTGTTGTTCAATAATTTCAGTTGTGCCTGACTCTTTGTGACTCCATTTTAGGGTTTTCTTGGCAAAGATAGTAGCATGGTTTGCCATTTCCTTTAGCTTATTTGACAGATGGGCAAACAGATTTAAGTGATTTGCCCAGGGTCACACAGCCAGTAAATGTCTGAAGTTGGATTTGAACTCATGAAGATGAGTCTTCATGATGCCAAGCCCAGTGCTCTATTCACTGTGCCACCTAGCTGCCCTAAGGTATGAAAGCTACTGTCCAAAAGACAAGTTTATCTTAATATAACAGGATGAAGCAATATTAATCGAGCAGAGTTAGGATCAGCAACCTTTGTTCATTCTGCTCCTCAATTAACTTAATGAAGACTATTGTAATAGTCTAGGTAGAGGTGATGAAAGCCTGAACTAGAGAGAAGAGGACAGATGATAAAAATGTGGAGGTAAAATCAGCAGGACTCGGCAACTTATAAATGGATAATGATGAGGAGAGAAGAATCAAAGGCAACCCTAAGACTGCAAATATGGGTGACTAAGAGCATGGCAGTGCCCCCAGGAGAAACAGGGAAGTTTGAAAGGTAGGCAGTAATTAGTTCTGTCTCGAATGTGTTGAGTTTGAAATGTCAGTGGGACATCCAGGTGAAAATGCCCAGCAAGGACTAGAATTCAGTAGTGACACTAGGGTTGGATATCCAGATTTGGGAGTCATTGATGTAGAATGGGAGCTGTTGAGGTAGGTTATTAAGGGAGAGATATCATAGAGAGAGAAGAGAAGAGGGTCTGGGATAGAACTTTGGCTCTATTGAACCCTTACTGAAGGGAGAAGATGGATGATGAGTCAGTGAAGGAATGCAAGGAGGAGAACAGGAGAAAGCAGGCTCATAAGTGAGGAGAAGGGGCTAAAAGTATCAAAAACTGTTTAGAGGTCAAAAAAGGATGAAAACAGAAAAAAGGCAATTGGATTTAACAGTTAAAAGATACTAATGGCTAGCATTTACATAGTGTTTTAAGGTGTGCAAAGAACTTTACATACATTATCTCATTTGGTGCTCATTTAAGTCTTTCAGGGAAGTAGTATAATTTTCTCCCATTTCAAGTATGAAGAAAGTGAGGATCACAAACTTGCTCGTAGTCACCTGGCTAATAATAAATGTCTCAGGTAGGATTCCATTTCAAGTCCGAATCTGAAGTCCAGTGCTCTCTGCTTCCCCCTAGCTGCCATCCCTCATATTCTTGGGGAGAGCTATTTCAGTGATTGGAGAGTCAGAAGCCAAACAGCAAAGGATTAGAAGTTAGTACTTAGTGTAAATGAAGTTTAGCTGCAAAAGGGAAGGATAGATAATTGGAGAATAGCTTGAGGGAATGACATGTTTGACTGGAAGTTTTTTAAGGGTGGGGCAAAATTGAATGAATGAATGAATAAAAAAGCACTTATTAAGAGTTTAGCGCTAAAGGTGAGTGATACAAATAGAAAAAAAAACAATCCCTGCTCTCAAGGAGCTTATGCTCATAAGCTGGGAAGATAACACGGGAGAGTCCAGGCACAGGTCAGATGGAAAGGCCTGTGGTCCTAAGGGTTCAGCCTCAGGGCAGATGTCAAGGACCAGGAGTCCTTAGGATACTTGTGTGTATGTGGATCTGCCTTAGGCCCACCACCACTGGGAAAAGAAGAGTGGCCCTAAAGGTCAACGTTCATACAAGAGGAGAAAAGGGGGAGGCAGAATTTCAGGAAGATATGCCACAGGGAGGGCAATGTTGGTACCAGCTCTGGCTGGGGACTTCCAGGTTCTCCTGATACTGTCTGGGGAAGCTTCAGTAGGGAAGGAATCTAGACATGTTTGTAGGGAGTGAAGATATTGAAGATGAATGAGAAAATTTGAACAATCAGTGAAGTAGCTTCCTAGAGGCAAGAGAGGGGATGGGATCAAGGGTATAAGAAGGGTATAAGTATCATGATTAGCCTTGAGAGCTTCACATAAACTGTAATACAGGCTTATCAATTATGATATGGAAGGCAGACAAGAGATATATGTTCTTTTTTTTTTAAAGTCCAGTTCAACTTGGGATTTATAATGTTTGATTAAATCAACACAAACCTAGAGTTGGTTGTTAAGGAAGCTGAGAAAAATGACGAAATTGCAACAGGAAAGTGAAGTGTGAAATGATTGACCAGGAACAAAGACCTGAAAACCTGAATTATAATTCTTAGTTCTCCAAGCTCCTCAGCCTGGGCAAGACTTGTTTTTTGTTTTTAAATAGAATCTATTTTTCTATATCCTTCAATATCCTGAGTATTTGCAATAAACCAGTGTGGTTATACCTTTGTTTCCATCTTGCTAAGCACTTTCCAGCAGCCAAAGGTCAAATAACACACCATTCTTTGTTTAATGATATTTTAGTGTGGCATAACTGGAGGGATACATTCAGAGTTTCCAGCACTATTCTCTCGGATCAGTCAGTCGGGCAGTAATTACACACTCAGCATTGCCAACAAACTCTATGGGGCAAAGAACATTGAATTCCATCCAGTAAGTACATAAGGAATGGCTGTATTCATGGCAAACAATACTCTTGGAATCTCCTACCAAGATATCTGGAACCGCTGGGCATTTTTATCATCATCGATTTGTGTTGGCTAAATTACAGAACACTGCTTAAAAGTTACTCCCAATTTAAAGTTGGTTCTGCATTAAAAATCACCTGAAAAATTAACTTCTGGAAAGACTATATATGTTATTCCCCTTAGGTCGACTAGTTGAAAGGCAGATTTGCACTGGGTCTAGAAGACTGCCCATGGGGTCAAGAAGACATGGGTTCAGCTCCTGCCTATGACATACCCTGACTGTGTGACCCTGGGCAAGTCACTTTTCCCTCAATGCCACAGGCAACTAAGGCTATAAATTGCCCAACAGTTGCCTATCTGCATTTGTAAAGGGGATTTCCTCACTGAGAGCTCCTATGCTGATAAAATCCTCACCAAAAAAAAAAAACGTTGACCAGTAAGTGAAGGAAGAACTAGAAAGCATGAAATCAGTCTGGCTCCCCCAAACGAAATAAAGAAGGGTAATTATCTGTTTTCCCATATCTCTATCTTCAAATGTAATTTCCTCTGGAGCAGAGAACATTGTAGGTTGGTGAAAAGAGCGCCGGACCAGGGCCAGGAGATGTTAGTCCTGAATGACCGTCCATACATGTTGTTGGGCATCTTGCCCCTCCAGTTTGCAGCAAATGCCTTGCAGGAAGCTAGCAAGGGTCAAAGATGTAGAATTTTGAGTTGGAAGAGAGCTGATCTAGACCAATTTCCTTCTTGTACAGAAGATAACAGCAAGAACAATAGTTCTTCATGTGGCACTTCAAAGCCTGAGAAGAGTTTTACATGTATGATATTCTTTGATCCTTACAACAACTTGGTGAAGTAGGTGCTATTATTTCTCCTATTTTACAGATGAGTAAACTAATGTTGAGAGAGATTATGTAAATTCTGTGTTTTCAAATGGGATTTTACTATATGCTGGTTACACAACTTGGCTCCTGCCATCCTGCTTCTGAGTGCAAAACAATGTGGCTGGACGTAAGACAAACCCCAGCAGCAAGTAGCTACCTTCACAAACCCTCTCCTCACTGTTTTTGAAGTCCCTGGATCATCCAGGATAATCCATTTATGTGTATGTGGAGGTACACTGTAAGAGACAAAGGACTCCCCTTATTTGTTGGGTTTTTTTCACTTGTGTCCTACTCTTTGTGACTCATTTAGGGTTTTCTTGGCAAAGATACTGGAGTGGTTTGCCATTTCCTTCTCCAGTTCATTTTACAGATAGAAATAAACTGAGACAAACAGGGTTAAGTGATTTGCCCGGGGTCACACAGCTAATAATTATCTGAAGCCAGATTTGAACTCGGTCTTTCTGACTTCAGGCCTGACACTCTATCCAGTTGCCCCTTAGTCTGTCCCCAAAGCTTACCTACCCAGCGGATTCTGCTCCCTGTGACTTTAGAAACCATCTGCTTTAACCCTCTGCAAATTGTTAGTGACTCATATAACAAGGAGACAGCATAGTTTTGTGGGGAGTGAACTGGCCCAGGACTTGGGGAGATCTGGGCACTGGGGCCACCAATTAACCATGTATATTCGGGCAAATCACTCAGCCCGCCTGGGCCAGAGTCTCCCATCTGCAAAATGGGGTTATACTTATGATACCTACCCTACAGGTGTAGGAAAGCATCTCATGAGCCCAATGTAGGGGAGTCTATGGATGCACTGTTCTGTGTTTTGCCCACGTGGGTGTGTCTAGATGTGGTTCACAAGGAAACAAGAATAGGTATCTCTAGAATCTCTTCCCCTACCCCACCTCATCTTTCTTCAAGGGAGACACATGTTAAACTTAAAATACTGGTTTAGTATGAGCCATGTTGATTATTTTAAGGGGCTTACTGTGCTAGTGGCTTTATTCTAATTCTATCTTTATGATTTTTGTAAATTTGTCTTTTTAATTACAGCAATATTTAAGTTGTTCAGACAAGTTCTACCAGTCCAAGCTGCAGACTGTAGATTTCCAGCACGCTCCAGAGGAAGCCAGGAAAACAATTAACGCCTGGGTTGAAAGTAAGACCGATGGTAAGCTTGAGTCAGGTTCCAACTGCTGCACTTGCCAAGTTTCTGTCTACATTCTATATCCTCAAGAATGTGGGCGAGTCTCCTTCCCTGAGGAGCTGCTGAAAGAGGCCAGCGGAGAGAGGTCAAGGCCCTTGTAGTTCCCCACAGTGACGATACAGGCCAAAGACAACTGTGTTAGATACTGAAGGGATATTTCCAAATGGCCACTACAAAAGGCTGCCTTATGGAACAAACAGTTGCAGGATACAGATCTCTCTCTGCCTGTGACTTCTGTGATTTATCTGAAATGCTAGCTTTTCTGAAGTTTCTAGAATGCCATAGGAGAAAGGTCACTGAATTAGGAGTCAAGAGATAGAATTCCTACATTTCAGATTTACAGGGGACCTCATAGGCTACCTGGTCCTATTCATACCCGAAGAAAAATCCACTTCACAAAATCCTGGAGTACTGATCCTGCAATTTGGAATCTGATATGGATTCTAATCCTAATTCTGCTACCTCTGTGATCTTGAGCAAGTCACTTAACCTGTGTGGGCCTCAGTTTCCCTACCTGTAAAATGAAGGAGTCAGATGATGTTGTCCAGTTCTAATGTTCTATGTTCTTAAATATATTAAATTTCCTCTTATTTTAAATTGAGCACATGAAGCTCTAAGACCTGAGTGATCTACAGGGAAAATAATTAACTCATTCCAGGAGCAGATGTACCACTATCAGAGGAGTTTTATGGAATCTGAAAGGCCCTGTAGCGTCTCTTCATCTGTAAATTGAGAGAGTTGTTATTAGATATTATCAAAGTTCTCTCTTAACTCTAAACCAACAAGCCAATAATTTCATGAGCCATCTTTCTAGAGCTACATATAAAATTGTATAACATCTAAGTCTCTCATTGTAGCATGATGAGCTAGATTATAACATTTAACTATGAGTATGTTACTGTTTACACAGAGAGCTTACCGCTAATATCTATTACAACAGATATAAGCAGGTCCTAAATGAAAATGAGGTCTGCCCCCGAAGACCTTGGGAATGGGAATGGTACCACCACCATCACCAAGATACATCTCAGAGTCTTGGAACATGATTGTATTTCCCTAGCCACAGTACTCTATGTAAACTCAGGAAGGATCTGTGATTTTGTAAGTTCAGGGAACTCTAGGTATGAGAACTCACTTTACTAATACATAGTGGGATTTCTCTGTGATTTAGTAGATAAATCCTAGGAAGTAGTTTGAAGGACCTAGATGGTTAAATGACTTGCCCAGGGTTACAAATTGAGTAAGGTGTGAGGGCAGGATTTGAATCCAGGTCTTCCTGATTCCAAGTCCAGTACTCCGACTATTAAGCCACACCACCTGTTCATATTATTACTATGAAATTTGTGTGTGTGTGCGTGTGTGTATTTAAAATATCCATACTTCTTATTAACTCCTTACCATATATCATAGATTATACAGATAGAGACACACATACACACAGATCCCTTAAGGTCTCTTGAAGGTCTCAAATTCTACAATTTTTTGATATGATACAAATGACCAAAATTGTGACAGAAAGTTGTTTTCAATATTAACAATATGCAGTAATTAACCAAAGAATAATATGATTAACAAGCTTGACTGCACCTTACCCCTCCCTCCCCAGTCTCAAGAAGGCACTATTTGTATACCCATACTAGAAGCAAAAGGGAGGTATCTCTTTACATTTTTCTCTTTCTGTTATTTCCTCTCTATCCAATACTACATTGTTTTTTCCTGACCTTATACTTTCTGTACCACTGTCCTTCCTCCTTTTGGAGGATTGGACTGAATTTTTGGTTTTGAGTTAGGGCATGATGTTATACATGAATCTTTATCATTTTACAAAATGCAAAGACAAATGGCTAAAAATGTACTCTGCTCTAAACCCTAAAGGACAAAATATTGCCCCCCCTTTTTTTTTAACTTTGTAAGGGTCAGGGTGGGAGGCCAATTGTCAATTGACTAGACTCATCTTCTGCAAGGTGATATAACGGTGCTGGGATAGACGGTAAGCCTGCATTTGGAATCAGACAATCTGGGTGTGAGTGGAGGCCCTGTAAATTTCTTTCCATCATTTCCTTTCTCTAGGCCTCAGTTTCCTCACTTTTAGAATGAGTGGATTATATTAAATCTTTAAAGTCCCTACTAACACTAAATGCATAAGCCTAGGAACTTGGGCACGGTTGTCACAGGTTTGTTCTTGTCCCTTAGGACATCCCTGCCCATAGTTTTCCAAAGCAAGCTCTTTGTCTGTGCGCCTTCCTGAATGCTTCCCGTGCCCACAGTAAGCCCTCTCCTCCTGACCACTGCACTCAATCCATAGGTGGCTCGCAATAACAGAGTTAAATTTCTCTTTCATTTGTCTGGAATTCTAGGTAATAAGAATAAAAAATTGGGGTGGGGGGGAGCGGACCAAATGGCCTCCAAGGCCATCCAGCTGTAATATTTATGGCTTTGTGGTTAAAGGGGAAAAGAGGAGGTACATGGAATAGCCTCTGAGAATTAATACTTGATTATGTATTTTATATTTGATTTTACTCTAGAAGTGATTTTATTCTGTAACTATATTCTGTATTCTATGCAACAAACCTAAGCCTCTTCTCTGTTTCTGAGTGAAGAAGCTCATGAGTTCAAAGGTTCTGCCCCTTTCTCTCTGAAGTTAGATACCAAGGCTTAAGCTTCCCATAGTTACTGTTAGTTAAAGAAAAATCTTTGTCCTCAATGTTATGATAAAACATTACCTCAGCATTTCCTGTAAGGTTTGTGTGTTACCCTTAAGAAGCTATACTAACTGACCTTGTCCCATCTTTAGCAATTACGAAGGTGGTCTTATCTACTCCCCCAGGGGCCAGTGAGTTTGTGTACCTGGGTCCCCATCAGTGACCTCAGGGACCCATATCAGGGGCCCATAAAATTTACAAAAGCATTCCTTAGAGATAGATAGAAGTGGTCTCTATCCCATGTGTGTGCTATTTCTTTGATGTAATTTTTCATGATCCCTCACTCCTACAATGCTAGGAAATCATATGATTTTTGTTCTGTTCTTTGTTTTATGCTCGTAAAAATGAGTTGCATCAGGGGCAGCTAGGTGGCTCAGTGGATAGAGCACCAGCCCTGAATTCAAAAGGACCTGAGTTCAAATCCGGCTTCAGACACATAACACTTACTAGCTGTGTGACCCTGGGCAAGTCACTTAACCCCACTGCCTAGCCAAAAGCAAAACAAAACAAAAAACAAAAAAAGAGTTGCATCTTCAAAGTGGGGTCTTTTGGCCAGAGGCAATGCCATTTGACTCATCCTTTATTAATAGGCTCAGCACTCTATTAACAAGCTGTTGTCTTGTGCAGAGAATTGCTTCAGTTTACCTTTTTGTTAAATTTTACATGTGTCAAGCCCATTCTCATACCCCATAGGCAGGTGGCACTGTGGATCGAGTGCTGGACCTGGAATAAGGAAGACCTGAGTTCAAATCTAGCCTTAGACACTTCCTAGCTGTGTGACCCTGGACAAACCACTCAACTTCTGCCTCAGTTTCCTCAACTGTAAATAAGGATCATAATAGAACCTACATCTCAAGGCTATTGTGAGGATCAAATGAAATGATATGTGTAAAGTGTTTACCACAGTGCTTGGCACAAAGTAGGCATTTAATCCTTTCTTCCCACCCCCTAGTGTGGGGAGAATTGGGCTAATTAAATATAAAAGTTAAAATCAGTGAAGATGAACATCAAAATGTAAATGAATGAATGAATGAATGAAAAAATCAGTTAAATGTTTACTATGTGCTTAGCACCATACTAAGTGGTAAGGATACAAACAGGAAAGCAAAACAGTCCCTGCTCCCCGGGGCTCACGTTCTAATAGGGTAAGAGAACACAAATGGGATGGTTCAGCTGCAGGGTAGATGGAAAGGTCTCATGGTCCTTAAGGTATAGTGACAAAGCAAATGTTAATGCATTTTCATTAATGTCATTTCCATCAACTAAAACATCTCAGTTTTTGATGTTGAATCATTTTGACAGTCCCAAGGTTTTTGGTGAAGAGAACTTTCTTTTTTGAGTCTTTAAGAACTGTGGCTACTATGGAGGAAGGAGCTGTAGTACCTATAGAGGCAGGTTGCCAGGTCATATCTCCACAAGGGTCATTTCTCTGGATGATTTCTGCAGGACCTGGGCTGGTGGCCCTGGGAACAATGCTCTCACCACCTATTGGGGGCAGTTAGTGATCGGTGTTGGTGGTGGGGATGTCGGGCACCTTTTCCTTAGTAGTTGTTCCCCTGCCCAAAGGCAATGGGGGCCAGGCTGGAAGCAAGGCTGTTGGCATAGGAGTAGATATTGCTATTCTTGGAGCTCTTCATCCATTGATGGCAGCTGGTCAGTGGGTTGATGTTGTTGGAGGTAAGGATGTTGTGATCTTTTCCATAAAGTTTGTTCCTCTATGTAAATAAAAACAAATATATGTTTAGATAGTAATGATATAACACATACCTATAATGGAAAGTAGTTTTCATAGAGGTGAGTACTATGTCTTCTCCTTCTTTGTGTCTTTGAACACCTAGCATACTGCTGGGTACATATCAGAAACATAGTAAGTTCTTCTTGATTTAAAAAATACTCAGAGGTGACAGATATTATTCATTATTATTAGTATTATTAAACAGCTTTAAACAGCTATAAAACTTTGAGGTTTTCAAAGCACTTTATATATATATATACACACATATATATACATATATATACTATATATATACACACATATATATATATACATATATATATATATAATCTCATTTGATCTTCACGACAACCCTGTGATGCAGATGCTTTTATTACTCTCATTTTTAAAAATTTAAACAGTATTTTATTTTTTTCTCAATTAAATATCAAGAAAACTTTTAACATTCATCTTTGCAAGATTTTGAGTTCCAAATTTTTCTCTCTTCCTCCCTCCCTCCGTCTCCTCCCCTTTTCTCAAAATGGTCATAAATTTAATATAGTTTATTTTATACATGTACTCTCATGTAAAACATAATTTCTATATTCATCACAGTTGTGGAAAAGGAAACAGATCAAAAGGAAATAAAATCATGAGAAAGAATAAAGTAATTGAAAAAATACTTTGATCTGCATTCTGAATCCATCAATTCTTTATCTAGATATGGATAGCATTTTCCTTTGTGAGTCCTTTGTACTTATCTTAGATCATTGTGTCGCTGAGAAAAGCTGAGTCATTCATAGTTGATTATCACTACCATGTACAATGTTTTCCTGGTTCTGCTCATTTCACTTTGCACAAGTTTGTACAAATCTTTACAGGTTTTTCTGAAATGTGCCTGTTCATCATTTCTTATTGCACAATAGTATTCTATTACATGTATATACCACAGCTTGTTCATCTACTCCCGAATTGATGGGAATTCCTTCAGTTTCCAATACTTTGCCACCACGAAAGGGGCGGCTATAAATATTTTTGCACATGTAGATCCCTTTCCCTTATTTATGATCTCTATGGGATACAGACTCAGCAATGATATTGCTGGATCAAAGAGTATACATAGTTTGGTTGCCCTTTGGGCATAGTTCCAAATTGCTCTCCAGAATGGTTGAATCAGTTCACAACTCCACCAAAAGTACATTAATGTCCCAATTTTCCCACATCCTCTCCAACATTTATCATTTTCCTTTTTTTGTCATATCAGCCAATCTGATTGGTGCAAAGTGATATCTCAGAGCTGCTTTAATTTGCATTTGTCTAATCAGAAGTTATTTAGAGTACTTCTTCATATGCCAATAGATATCTTTTATTTCTTCATCTAAAAACTGTTTGTTCGTATACCTTGACCTCTTATCAATTAGGAGATGGCTTGTATTCACATAAATTTGACACTGTTTTCTATATATTTGAGAAATGAGGCCTTTATCAGAGACACTTGTAAAGATTGTTTCTCAGCTTTCTGCTTTCCTTCTAATCTTGGTGGCACTGGTTTTGTTTATACAAAAGCCTTCCAATTTAATATGACAAAAATTATTTATTCTACATTTCATAATGCTCTGTATCTATTGTTTGGTCATGAATTCTTCCCCTCCTCATAGATCTGACTGGTAGACAATTCCTTGCTCTTCTAACTTGATTGCTTCATTGTTTATGGTGCCTTTTCAGCAAGATGTAGTTTCCTTCCTTATCTCTTTTAATTAGGTCTATTTTTGCTTTTACTTTGTCTAAGATCAAGATTGCTACCCCTGCTTTTTTTTTTTCAACTTCAGCTGAAGCATAACAGATTCTGCTCTAGCCCCTTACCTTTATTCTGGGTATGTCTCTGCTTCAAGTGTGTTCCTTGTAAGCAACATATTATAGGATTCTGGTTTTTGATCTACGCTGCTATCTGCTTCTGTTTTATGGGAGAGTTCATCCCATTCACACTCACAGTTATGATTATTACCTGTGTATTTCCCTCCATCCTATTCTTTCTTCTGTTTGTCCTCTCTTTCCTTTCACCCTTTCCCATCTCATCAATGTTTTGCTTCTTTCTACCCCTTCCCCTGATCTACCCTCTCTTATGTCAGCCCCCCTCCCTTTACTTAATTTTCTCCCCTCCTACTTCCTTGTTGGGTAAGCTAGATTTCTATATTCAACTGATTGTGTATATTATTCCCTCTTTGAACCAATACTGATGAGAGTAATGTTCAAGTGATGCTCATCACATACTCTCACATCTTCCCCTCCACTGTAATAGATCTATTCTCACTTCTTCATATGAGATAATTTACCCCATTCTACCTCTCCCTTCCTTCTGTATCATTTGTACTCCTCTTTCTCATCCCTTAAATTTTTTATGTCATTCTCTCAAATTTACCTTAAACCCATATCCTCTGTCTATGTATATTCCTTCTATCTGTACTGTTAGTGATACAATTTTTAAGAGTTACAAGTATAATCTTCCTATATAGGAATGTAAACAATTTAGCTCTTTTGAATCCCTTATATGTTCTTTTCCCTTTTTACCTGTTTATGCTTCTCTTAGGTCTTGACATTGGAGGTCAAATTTTTGGTTTGGTTCTGGTCTCTTCCTTACGAAGTTGTGAAATCCTTCTATTTCATCAAATGACCTTTTTTCCCTTGATGTGTTATGTTTAATTTTGCTGGGTAAGTGATTCTTGGTTGTAGTCCTAGTTCCTTTGCCCTCCAGAATACCATGTTCATGATCTCCGATCCTTTAATGTTGCAGCTGCCAGGTCCTGTGTAATCCCACTTTTGACTCCCCAATATTTGAATTGTTTCCTTCTGCCACTTGTAGTATTTTTTCCTTGACCTGATAGTTCTGAAATTTGGCTATCCTTGGGGTTTTTATTTTGGGATTTCTTTACTGAGGTGATTGGTAGATTCTTTGTCTATTTTACCCTGTAGTTCCAGAACATCAGGGCAGTTTTCCTTGATAATTTCTTGAAAGATACTTTTCAGGTCCTCCTTTTGATTATGGCCTTTAGGTAGTCCAATGATTCTAATATTTTCTCTCCTGGATCTATTTTCTAGGTCAGTTGTTTTTCCCATGAGGTAGTTTACATTTTCTTCATTCCTTTGAATTTGTTTGATTGATTCATGATGTCCCATAGAGTCATTAGATTCCACTCTACCCAGTTCTAACTCTTAAGGTATCATTTTCCTCAATTAGTTTTTGTACTTTCTTTTCCATTTGGCCAATTGTACTCTTTAAGGAGTTGTTTTCTTCAGTGGATTTTTTGCATCTCCTTTTCCATTTGGCCAGTTCTACTTTTTAAGTAGTTTTCCAGGCTGTTGACTCTTTTTTTTTCATAATTCTCTTGCATCATTCTCATTTCTTTTCCCAATTTTTCTTCCATCTCTTTTACATGATTTTAAGCTCCTTTTTGAGCTCTTCTATGAGATCTTTCTGGGCTTGAGACCATTTCCCATTTTTGTTTGGAGTTTTGCCCATGGGCATTTTGACATTATTGTCCACTTCTGAGTCTTGGTCTTCTCTGTCACCATAATAACTTCCTATGGTCAGATTCTTTTTTTTCTTGTTGTTTTCTGCTTATGCTTATTTATTTATTTATTTATTTTACCTTTTCCCTTTCTTTTAAATTTGACCTCTGCTCCCAGGGTTGAAGGGGCACTGTCTCAGGCTTCTTGTGCCAGGGGCTGCAGGACCTGGCTGTTTACCTGATGCTGTACTGATGTTGTTCTGGGGCCCATGGGGGACTCTCATGTCTGGTGCTGCACTGAGGGGGTGGGGTGTGGGTTGCTGGCACTGCTGGGTGCCGTAGGGGTCTGGCAGCTTACTTAGTACTGAGCTGGGGTCCTAGCAGTAGTGTCTGGCATGTGCTGATGCCTGGTGGGGTGTTTCTGTGTTTCCTCATGGTTACACTGAAGCACATGGTAGTCAGGCCTCTGGAGGCTGCCTGTTTGCTTAGGCACCTGCAGGGTAGGCATCTCCTGTTTCCCTGGGTCCGTACTCTAGCTCGTGGCAGTTTGGCCACTAGAGGCTGCCCATCTGCCAGTTCTCTTAGCTATGCTAAGGCATATGGTGGGTCCTGGTGTTGATATTTGCTTACTCCACTGCACTGGGGCTTAGGATCTCCCACTGGTTTGCTGAGGTGGGAGCTTGCTGCTGGCTTGCTGGGATGCTTCCTGTCCTGGGCTGTACTCCCCTTTCACCTGAGTGAGATGGACCTTTCTTGCTTATCATCCAAGTTTCTTGGGACAAAAGATTGTTTCACTCTGTCTTTTTGCTGGCTCTGCTGTTCCAGGATTTGTTTGGGGGCTCTATTTTGTAGTTGTTTGGAGGTAAGTATGGAAGAGTTGCTGCAATTTACTGCTTACTCTTATTATTCTCAATTTATAGATGAAGAAAGTAAGTCTGACAGGAAGGCAACTTGCCTGTAATCAAATAATAAGTCTCTGAGGCAGGATTTGAACTCACATCTTCCTGATTCTAGGTCCACTACTCTTTCCACTGCACCACCTAGTTATGAGATCATGTGACTTCACTAAATCAAATTATTCCTGTTTGCCTCTTGTTGTGACTTTAGGTGCTTAGGAAGATGCTTCTCACTGGGACTTAGGTTACCATTTAGTACAAAATCATTATATTAAATATACCTGTGTCTTACTTTATGTAGCAGCTATTTGCCAAGTTGAATATAAATAGAATTTTTATAAATTGACCCACTTGAAATTTAAAAAAAGTCACGTATATTCTGGTGAATCTTCTTAAGAAATTTGTTTGACACATGTATAACTACTTTTCGGTTAATCTTTTTCTTTTACTGTGTATTTTCCTATATCATTTGCTTAAAATGTGGACACAATTCATATTCGTGATGCTAGTATTAGCCAAGCTATGAAAAATAGAGCTTTAAACTAATAAACATGGAAAGAATACCACAAAGAGCTAGTGAAAACAATTCCAGACAAATAGCATTATTGTATGAGAAGTCATTCCCTATAAATTATCATAGCAATTATTTCACTGGAGCAGAAAGATACCAGCACCTCCCAGAAGGTCTCATGTTCTGACTAGGAACAATCAGTCCCTTCTTATTTTTGAAATGGATTCTGATTTGATGGTAAGGTGAAATGAAAGATGAGTGTACAATATAGGAGGAAAAAAAAAAGCTTCTGCAGTTCAGACTGATTGTCAGTGTGGGAAAAAATCCTAACAGGTCCAATTCTCTTGTGAATGGTCAACTATCTCAAACCAACTTGCATAATCACCAAAAGCAAACAATGCCCTCTTCTTTATTTTGTTTCTCCTTATTTTACAAGGAAAAATCAAGAACCTGTTTCTTAAAGGAACAATTGACACTTCTTCTGTCATGGTCCTGGTGAATGCTATCTACTTTAAAGGACAGTGGCAGAGTAAATTTCAAGAAGAAGAGACGATTAAAATGCCCTTTAAACTAAGAAAGGTATGTAACTCATTTTCATATTCATCAATATTTGTTTGTGGAAAACAGTTATCCTCTGGGTACAATCTAGAAAAGGTCCATACAGAATTTGGTCTATGCTCATGTAGATTCCTTAACATGTCTTACATTATTTCAGGGTTGCGAAACTTTCATTTTTCCCCCCTGAAAACACTGAGGATGATCTCTGAGAGTTTCCTCTTCTCCTCTCTTCCTTATCTCACATCACCCAGATGCTTTTGGCCACTATCTCTTCCTAAACATTTATCTCAAGTGAAGAGGTGGGCCTTTTCCTTGAAGGAGGTCCTCTCTCTCTGTCTCTCTCTGTCTGTCTGACTGTCTGTCTGTCTCTCTTTCTATCTCTCTCTCCTTCACTTTAGAGTCTGGCTTCCAAACTCATTCATTTAATGGAAAGTAACTAAAAGTCTCTTAATGATCAAATTCAGTGGTCTTTTCTCAATCCTCATCTTTCTTGACCTCCCTGCAGCTTTTGACACTGCTCATCACCCTCTTCTCCTTGATACTCTCTTCTCTCTAGATTTTCACTATTGTTAGTTGGTTGATATTATTCTTTCCTAGTTCTCCTACCTATCCAACTGCTACCTCTCAGTCACCTTAGCTGGCTCTCTATCCAGGTCATACTCACTAACCATAAGTGTTTCCTAGGACTCTTTCATGGCTCCTCCTCTCTTTTCCCACTATACTATTTCAGTTGGTGATCTCATTAGCTCCCATGTATTCAACAATCATTTCTATGTTGATGATTCTCAGTTTTAATTATCTAGCCCTAACTTTTCTGCTAACCTCCAGTCTTACATCTCCAAAAGTCTGTTGGGCATCTTGAATTGGATGCCCCATAGACATCTTAAACTCAATATGCCCCAAACTGAATTCCTTATTTAAACCCTCACTCTTTCCAAACTCCCCTGGGTGTGACCCAGGCATCATCATCAGCTCCTCAGTCTTTCTCACCCCTATATCCTATTTATTGCTAAGGCTTATTGATTTTACCTTTGCAAATTTCTCACAGGCACTTCACCCTCTCCTCTGATACTACCACCACCTTGTGCAGGTCCTTACCTCACAAGTGGAACATTGAAATGGCCTGCTAGTTGATTTCCCTGTCACAATCCTCTCCTCTTCACATAATTGTTAAAATGATCTTTCTAAGTCACAGGTCTGACCATGCCATCCTCCTCAATGAACTCCAAAGAATTCCTATCACCCCCAAAATCAAATATAAAATCCTCTGCTGTCATTCAAAGCCCTTTATAACCTGGCTCCTCACTTTTCCAGTCTTCTTACACCTTATACTCCCCTAGGTAGTCTGTGATTCAGTGACACTAGCCTCCTAATTTTTCCTCACATAATACATTCTATCTTCTACCTCCTGGTATTTGCCTCCTGGTTTCCTTGGCCTCTTTCAAGTGCTAGATAAAATCCCACTTTCTAGAGGAAGCCTATCCTTATCTTCCTTATTTTTAGAGGCTTTCCTTTGGTGGTTATCCACAATTTATTTCTTGTACATAGTTACATGTTGTCTCTCCCATTGGACTGCAATCTTCTCTAGGATGACTATCTTTTACCTTTCTTTGTAGCCCAGTGTTTAGCACACAGTCCCTGAAACATGATAGGTGCTTAATAAATGTTTATTTGCTGACTGACTTTCTGTGACTACTCTTATTTCCCATTTTTTCCTTCAAAGCCTCAAAAACCTATTTCCTACAAGGTGCTCCCTTGTGGTAATAGGCACGTGGTTTTCTGATATAGAACCTGGACCTTTTTTTTTTTTTTGGTTAGGCAATGGGGTTAAGTAACTTGCCCAGGGTCACACAGCTAGTAAGTGTTATGTGTCTGAGACCAGATTTGAACTCAGGTCCTCCTCACTTCAGGGCTGGTTCTCTATCTACTGTACCAGCTAGCTGCCCCTGGACCTTTTGATTCAGTTCTCCTTCTTTGATTGGTACTGTGCCCTCTGACATGGAATCATAATCATGTCTGTTTCTTCCTACTCTGTAGAACTTCTAATTAGTTAGGACTCTAAGTGATCCTATTCTACTCTGTCATTCCCTAAGAATTCATTTTGGGTAAAGGCCTTTTGGCCTCCACTTTGGGGAGAATTGAGTTATCTATATCTATATCTATCTATTATTGTTAAGACTATTTGTACTTTTTAGTCTTGGCTCCTCCCCCTTCTAATTTTTATTACTTCCATAAAAGTGGAGAGAAACAGAATACATATTCTATTTTCTCAGTATTTTATATGCAGATGAGGAGTGATTTTAAACCAATGAGACTGGCTTTTATGAGCCCTACTTTGACAATCTTTTTACTTTGCAGTCTTTTTTCTACCTTCCTTTATATTCCCCTCCCCTTCCTTTTATCTGTGTCTCTGTCTCCCTCTCTCTCTGTACATCCCCCCCCCCACATGCATATATTCAGGGCCCAAAGTCTTAGTGAAATTTTAAACTTTAATAGCTTTTCATCTATTGATATATACAAATGTGTATATATACATACATATTAGCATATATCCAATACACATATTATATATTATATATACACATATATACAGGGTGTCTCAAAACTCAATGCAGTTTTAAGTTTTAATAGCTCAAATAGCTTAAAACTACACTAAGACTTTTGGGACATGGGGTATGTGTGTGTGTGTGTGTGTGTGTGTGTGTGTGTGTGTGTGTGTGTAGTGGATCCATGAAGCAGGAGCTCCCAGCAGAAGTTCAGATTATAACACATTTGCAACCTTTTAATCTGTGTGACTTTTGTTTATGTCTTCTTCCTCCCCAATATCCTCTGGAGAGGATCTGCACAAAGCACTCAATACTTTCCTCTAGATCTTTCAACATTAAATGGGTATAGTGTAGTACTTGTGCCAGCCATATGTTATCCCTTATTATATGTCATACTATATGTTATATATTATATGTTATCTCTTATACGTGGACAGCCCACCTCTTTTATGATCAAATGCTTTCTGGATGATGTCTTTTAGAGTACACTATTTCTTCTGTACAAATCATCACTAGAAATACATTGCTTACTAAGTCAACAAAAGAAGCATTTACTAACTACCTGCTATGTGCCAGACACTCTGCTAAGCACTGGACTACAATCTCCCTGTGCTCACTGTGCAATCTTTCCATTTTTCTTTGGATCACCTACAATTTTGATTTGTAGCTATGTAGCATCACTGCAAGAATGTAGATGTTTTTGTGCCATGGAGCAGCTTGAAATTGTTGAAAGCACTGGCAATTTTCTAAGTGCATTTTGATTCATTCTAGTCCTCATATTCAATTTTGAACCCAGCTCTCTGTTCATTTGTAGTATTGCCCACCCAAGATATCATGTGTGGACTAACTCAGTGTCTGGACTATATATGTGGTGGTCACATGCTGTACAAACATGAAGATATATACACATATCCAGGGGCAGCTAGGTGCACAGTGGATAGAGCACCAGCCCTGAAGTCAGGAGGACCTGAGTTCAAATCTGGCCTCAGACCAAACACTTGACACTTACTTACTAGCTGTGTGACCCTGGGCAAGTCACTTAACCCCAATTGCCTAAAAAAAAAGATATATACACATATCCTATACACATTTATATTGTGCACACCACAGGATATTTAACATTTTTCTTTTCCCTGCCCCCAACAGGGTCGGACCGTACCTGTGCAAATGATGCGTCAAATTGGAACATTTAAAGTGGCTCTCATAAAAGAACCTCAGATGCAAGTCCTTGAGCTTCCATATGCTAGTGGAGATTTAAGCATGATTATACTTCTTCCAAAAGACACAGAGCAGGTAGAACAGGTAAAGCTACTGCAAAATGTATTCATAAACGTATGTACTGTATGCATGCCACATATGGTTCATTCATGAATTATTCATTCAGCATTAATTTATTGAATACTTTTACATCCATAGACCTGGGTTCTGTGGAGAAGTCAAAAGAATTAGAAGCTATATTCTCAGTCCTTGAAGAGAGTCTACTTTGGGAGAATAAAACATACTTAAACGAAACACCTGAATCAGAAGGTACCATGTAGGAAGTAAAGGTGCATTGGTGCAGTGTAAAGCATACTGGACAAAAAACTGGGAGATCAGGTTCAAGCTCTGCTGCTAAGTAGTTATGTGATGTTGGGCAAGTCATTGAACCTCTGGGTCTCAGTTTCCTTATTCAGTTCAATACCAAGTATTTCCATTCCTAATTTTTTTGTAAACAACTTTTCTAGATTTAGGGGATACATAAGTAGACAAAATGCAGACTTTTCTTTTAAGAAGTTTATAATCCATGGAGGTGGGAAGACAAGTGACACTGATAACAACCATGACACAAGATGAGTGAGTTAAGTACCATGGAGAGGTCCTGGGAAAATGTTTGAAAAATTACTGTCCTTTGGCTGGGGGTGAATTGTGTCAGATGAAGCTTTGTGAAAGAAGTTAAAACTGAGTTGATCCCTGAGGAAACAAAAGCAATACAACTGTGGGGAAGGGGAAGGGAAGGAAACGTGGAACAAAGTACAGTTGGACTAAGTGATTTTTAGGGTGGTGATGTAGTAACCATTCACAGGCCTAATCCCACTACTAATCAGTACAGAAGTTTTGATCCTCTTTGTTTTCTTGATCTCTGCCAGACTGCACCTCCTTTGTCAGCCTGATGGCCCCCTACCTCTAAAGGTTCATCATCTTGGTGCCAAACTTATTATGGATACTTGACTTACTTTAACCCAACTGCAGCTCAGAACTTTTGAGTTCCAAGATATGCTAAGCACAGCCTACCCAGTAGCAAGGACTATTGGCATGTGCCATCATGCCTGGCATATGCCTGTATTGAAGGAGAATAAAGTTAAGGTTTAAGCAACATAATGTGGAGTTAGGATCTTTGCAGGAAAATATGAACTTTAACCTAGTATAGGGTAGAATCATATTGGGAACTGTTATAGGCAAAGCTAACATTAAATAGGGGAGAGATTGAGGATGATATGAATTGAGAAGAGACCAAGAAAGTAGTCATTAATGTTCTTAGAGGATATAATTTTTATATAATGGTGCAAGGTGGTGAGGAAGGGATGGGGGTGGGGTAAGGAACTGGAGGTAACAAGTTATAAACTATGCAGTTAAGAAGTTGAATTATAAGGGGCAGGTAGGTGGCTCAGTGGATAGAGCACTGGCCCAGGAGTCAGGAGGACCTGTCTTCAAATCTGGCCTCAGACACATAACACTTACTAGCCGTGTGACTCTGGGCAAGTCACTTAACCTCAATTGCCTCACAAAAAAAGTTGAATTATAAAATGCAAGCAAGAATTATGTTTTGTTTTGATTTGTTTTGTTTTTGGCTAGGCAATGGGGTTAAGTGACTTGTCCAGGGTCATACAGCTAGTAAGTGTTATATATCTGAGGCCAGATTTGAACTCAGGTCCTCCTGACTCCAGGGCCGGTGCTTTACCGACTAGCTGCCCCCAAGAATTATGATTTAATAGCAATGGAGGGTACATGTTCAATAGAAGATTTTTTTTTTAAGACTAGTGAAACTTGACCATAATGTAAAGGCAAATAAAACAGAGTCAATGTTTACAGCCAGCCTTACTCAGAGGACCATAAAAATAAATCTAATTTTAAATGCTAAATCCCATATCAGATTTTAATCTGTATTTTATCTTTTAGATTGAGAAGCAGCTCAACCTGAAGACATTCAAAGAGTGGACCAATTCTTTCACGATGGAGAAAGAAGTTGAGGTTCAACTTCCCCGATTCAAACTTGGAATTAAATATGAGCTAAATTCTCTGTTAAAAACACTAGGAATGACAGACATTTTTGACCATTTAAAAGCTGACCTTTCTGGACTGTCTTCAAGTAGCAACTTATGTTTATCAAAAGTTATCCATGAATCCTTTGTAGATGTAAATGAAGAGGGCACAGAGGCATCTGCTGCAACTGGGGATGTTATTGTTGTAAAGAGACTTCCCGTCCCCATCAGGTTCAGGGCAGATCACCCTTTTCTTTTCCTCATAAAGCACATTACTACCAACACAATTCTCTTCTTTGGCAGGTTCTCCTCTCCATAAACAAGGGGGTGGTGGTGGTGTTAGTCAGGGCTAGAAGTATTGAAAAGGCATAAAGGTAATTAACATGCTTCTACCATATGGGGAGAGAATCACAAGATTATACAAAGCAGCATTTGTATATCACCTTTTTTTTTCCATCCTTCCCTTCTCTTGGTCCTTACATGACGACCTCCAGTAGTGACATTGTCAAAATAATAAAGACAAATTAGAGGGTTAGTCATTCTCAGCTGGACATCTTGATGAGATATTGCATAAATCAAAATAACTGTAAACCACATTCCCATAGAGAACCACAAAAACTTAACTCTGTTCCAGAAAAAAATTCATTAAGTACCTACCTACTATGTTCCAGGTATTGTGCTGGGTTTGGGGGCTACAAAGGTGAAATTGCTTACATTCTTCTTTCAGTGCAAGCTAGCAGGGAGTTTGAGTTTTGGAAATCTCCTTTTGATGTTAGCATTCATGTGTAAAGATGACAATATTTTGGTTCAAAAATGACATGCCGATTATTAATAAAAGAACTTCTTTGATAACCTTTAATTCCTGGAAGAATTAAATATGGAAGGCAACTTTGAAAACTTTAATTTGTGTGTTTTCTTGTGATAACTGAAAAAAAATAGCAATGGTTGCAGGAAAATCATTGCTTAGGAGAGAAGTTGAGTAGTTTCTTTGTATTTCTCCCACCTAGAAAGAGTAAAGAAAAGAGAGCAAGTTATGAGTTCTCAGTACCTGAAGGAATATTGGCTGTTACCTTGGTGACAGTAGAGCTAAAACAGGCAGCTCTTAAGCTTCTAAAAGATGCCAGAGCTGCTTTATTTTTTTTCTTTTTGCTTTGCTTTTGCCAGTTTGGAAGCATGTGGAAAAGGGAGAAAGGGGTAGGAATAAGATTGCCAAAAAAAAAAAGATAAAGAAAATAACAAAAAGAGGGTTTTTGACTTAGATATTAAAAAAAAAACCTGGGGCAGAAGAAAATGGCAAAAAATCACAGACAAGGGGAAGCTAGGTGGCGCAGTGGATAGAGCACCAGTGGTGGAGTCAGGAGGACCTGAGTTCAAATCTATCCTCAGGCCCTTACTAGCTGTGTGACCTTAGGAAAATCACTTAACCTCAATTGCCTCCAAAAAAAAAAAAAAAAAGAAAAAGAAAGAATTACAGACAAGCAAGATGTATTTGAGAGTTACATGTTGAATTTACTACACATTTAAAAATTAAAGCAAGCTTTACATAATAGAGATCTACAGTTTGATGTACAACCGTCTTTCTGTTCTACTGCATGCATGGAAATGTCCACTCTTTTTTAAAGTTTAGAATGGAAAAAAAAGGAAATTGGGGAAAAATAAAAATAAAAAAGACATCAGAACCCAGCCAGATTAAGAAGAAAAGCTGTCTCCTTCCCTCAGCCTTAGTCCAGGCAGAGAGAATGGAGGGATAGCCCACTTTCCTCTTCCACCTCAACCTTTGGATGTCATCTAGGTAAAAGGTATTAGAATTATTATTAGTTTAAGGTTATGCCTAGAGAACTTAGATAATGCAGGCCCCAGGATGCTTTCACTTCTAATAGTCAGATATACTCCTCTGGGCTTACTCACTGAACTCCTAGTCACTGGCAGAATGTGTCCACAGAGGGTGGCTGCTACTATTTTCAGTGACCTAAGGGTAGCCCCTTGGGTGGCTAGCCTCCTAACACTAGCTCACTAGCTCCCACCAGTGTTTTTCCCCTTGACAATTAAGTTTTTTAGTAAAAGCATTTATTCAAAGGGCATAGTAAGAGCAGTAGTTACAAAACAATAATAATAGCTAGCATTTATATAGCCACCTACTGTGTGCCAGGCACTGTGTTAAGCACAACAACCCTGGTAGGTGAATCCTATTTTGGTCCCCATTTTACAGTTAAAGAACTGAAGCAGACAGAGGCAAGTTACTTGTTTAAGTTTGCATTGCTAGTAAGTGTCTGAGGCTGGATTTGAATTCAGGTCTTCCTTACTCCAGGCCTAATGCTGTATCCACTGTGCCATTTAGATTCATTTCCCATGATATAGTGGAAGTGATGCACATATGCAGGAAACACATATGGCTGAGTCAACTTATAACTGAATTGCAGGAGAGTTTGTCCAGAAAGTACTCATGATACTCACTGGGTGATACTGGTAATGGATGAGTTATTCCACTCTTCATCTGGGCTTGATCCTCACATGACTTGGTGTGTTGACTGGATCGCCCAGTCTGCTGTGGCTTGGGTCAAATGAGTTGTCCAGCAGCCATATTGGCTCTTCTGTGGGGTTTAGTTGTTCCTGGAGGCTGCTGGGCCAGTCACTCTGCCACTGGAGGGCAGTAATGGACAGGGCACTTTGCTTTTGGGCAACAGTTAACAACAGAGGCCATGTTGCCTCTGGACAGTCACTGCCTCACAACACCAATTAGGCTAATCTGCCACTGCACAGTGCCAGGGAGGTATAACTGGACTTGTGGTCTTTTCATATGCAAATTAGTTATTCAAGCCTTCCTAGAGTGGAAAATGTCCACTCTGCATCTGAAGGCCTTCTCCTTTACATTTCACTTTCTGTCTTTTAGCTCCTTTAGACATTCAGTTTTTGCTAGGGTCTCAAGATGGCACCCTTTCTTACAAAGATACTTTTTCCTTTTTTTAGTCAGGCATTTAGGACCAAGGGTAGGGAAGGTAGACTGATAGATGCCTGGGAGCAAAATGCACAAGTTGGAAAAAAAGGAACATTTTTAATGGTTTCTTTTGATTACTGCAAATTTTTTTAATGGCAGGAGATATTATTCTTTATAGGATATAGACATTTATTTTGCGGTAAGTAAAGCCTCCTGTATTACGGTGAAGTGTCAAAGTCTTCAATAGCCAGGATCATACCTGCCTTTTTTAAAGATAAAATTATATTTATGTTTTCTTTATACCAACTTCAAACCCTGCCTAGGCCTCAGGATTTAGCCAGGTTCCTTCTTTTTAGTCTTAATTATCTTAAGCAATTGTTTCCAAATTTTTAATTTTTAAGCATGTACCTCCAGTAAATGCATTTTAGCTTATTTATAAGTTACATGCATGTAGCACTCTGATAGTATTACATTAATAATTATGTAATTAGGTACATTATATAATTTACACAAAAATTTAAAGAATGAGATAAAGATGAAATATTATTTTGAAAATGTTTTATTATGATACAAAACATCTTTCTCTCTAAGTTATCAGTAATGACATTTTTAGTGAGAGTAATGTGATTAATATGCTTCCTGATTTTGGAAAATCTTGGTTTAAAACTTATGATTTAAAACAGTGAGTCAAAGGTTTGATTATAAATTCAGTTTATTTTTATACTTGATTCAATGACTATCATAACTCAAAAAGATACCACACAAAGACCCGAAGATCCAAAAAGAGGTACATAATACAGCTAAATCATAATATATTCTTTTTAATTCCATCCTCCAATTATGCAAATTTTTAAAAATCAACTAGTAAATTTCCATCTTCCCTTATAGCAATCAGTTGCTCTTGTGAACTAATCAGAAGGTGATACATTTTAACATTTTTAGCAAATAGGCTTAAGACCCACCCAAACTCTTCCTTGGGAAGACTTTCAATGGGTTAGAAAATTCAGTATCCTTGTTTTTAAAGTATATAGAAATGAGCTTTTTTTTTTTGTTAGAGTTTCATACACATTGTTCACAGCAACCCAGAGGGGAGTCAATATTCAGGGAAGAGAATGGTCTTTCTACAGTAAAGATCAAGAAGGATTAGGTTTGAGAAAAGGTCAATAAATTTGGCAAGAAGAGATCACCAGTAGCTTCTGAGAGAAGAGATCAGTTTTACATGAATAAAGAATCAAGGGTAATTAGGAATCTGAGAAAATGGGGGACTAGAATGTTATTGGTGCCTGGATGAAGTTAGATTACAACCACCCTGACAGGCTGGTTTTCTTCAGCCATATGAAGCCAGAAGTGGGAAGAGTTGGATTGGGGGAGTTGTGGGTGAAGAGGATGGTTTATTTGGGCAGGAAATAAGCCCATGATAGTATATTCTATCATGCAGACAGTGAGATGTGACCTATCTTTTCACCTTCAATTGAATAATCATATACCACTTGGGGTCTGGCCTTAGCTTGCCAGCTGATTGTGGCCACAACTTTGGAAATCACTGATATAGAAAAGTATCTGGATTTAACACTATTTTGCTGTCTAGATTTGTCCTAGAACTTTAGGTTAAATTGTTTTGTTGTACTGAGAAATCAGCGAGTGAGACCCAGACATGATTTAAGATGTGGACTTTATTAGCGTGTGGCTGCAAGGGGTATGCACATCCAAATCAAGCAGCCCCCATCAGGGGTCGAGCTAGGGTTTATATAGAAACAAGCATGGGAAAGAAATGCGAGGAGCACTGATGAGGTAATCCAAAGATGCAGGTGTCTTTGGGCCTATGGATGGGAAAGTACAGGGAGTATAGAGGACAGGGAGGGGGATGGACCTTTGAAGTCTGGCAAGAGGAAGAGTTCTTGGGCTGGTCAAGGACACCCCTCTCCCTCTGTCTTGATGAGAGAATGCTCTGCAACAAGGGCAAGCTTTCTCACAACACAGGAACTTACTGAGGAATTGGGAGGCTTCCAGAGACATGATCTGAGGGCTGGGGCCTGAGCAGCCCAGCTCTGTGTAGCCGTACCAGGGAGAGAGATAAGGGTCATGCTGAGGCTCATGCATGAATAACTGCTAGGCACAGTGTCCTTGGGCTGGGGAATGGTTGTTAGAGACAGTGTTTCTGAGACTAGGGAGAAATTGGGGCACAAGTACAAGCACAAGCATCCAAGCACCCCATTATTACGGATCAGAGATCACACAAACCAGACCAGGTGTCCTGGTCTCTGGTATAAACATAATTATCTAAAGCAATTATATTGCAAGCTTTATTATCCATTTGCGTTAGAGGTACGGGCTATGCTGAGCTATGCAAGAGTACATTTCACTATTGTTTAGATTTAGGAGGAAAGAGGTCTGGGGCAAGATTAAGCACCAACTTTTGCTTTCCATGGATTAAAGGGCCCTACTACCTAAATGGCAAAATAATGTTCTGTATTACAGTTTTATAGTAAAGGAGAACTATAGCCTATGAAATTGGACTTTTCTAAATGCCCTCAATTGACTAGAAGTCCTATATCATGTGTTTTTTTCCTCTAATAGTACTAATATTGAGATCCTGGACAATCTTCAGCATATCCAGAGAGATACTATTGTATTCCTCTGTGACTCGGACACAGTCATAATTTTCCTGACAGCATTCACACCAAAACCTTTCATGAACAGGGAGGCTTGGAATCCTTGAGTCAACAGTGAGTGATAGCATCACTTGGAATCATGACTCCCAGAGCCCATGGCAACTATCCTGTGAAACTTCATTGCTCTTCAGGGAGGAGGTTTCATATGAGGGGTGATTGTTTAAGGTGAGACTCCTTGGATCCAATTTACTGGAAAGATAATAAGGGTAACTCATTTTTTTGGGTAGTGGTCCAGTAAGGAATTGAAGTCCAAGTGAGTGAATTTTTGTCCCCCCTGATTCCACAAATAAATCTTA